CATTATATATATACTAGTGCCCCAGTGCACGGATTAGTGCACATTGAAAGGAAATTAATTAGAAGGTGCCTGGTGGGGTGGGCCTGGGCGAGACGGGCTGGACATGCCCTAGAGCCAACCTCCCACAGTCCCTCCCCAGCCAGCCACACCTGGGGTGGCGCAGTGGCTCGAAGGTCTTCTGTGGAGTGAGTGGGGTCCTTTCAGCAGGTGGGGTCCCTCGGCCTGGCCTGCGGGGATTGGGCCAAAACTGGCTCTTCAACATCCCCCGAGGGGTCCTGGATTGCAAGAGGGTGGTTCTCAGTTGGGCTCCCTCCTCTCTGGTTCTGGGTGCATCACTGGAGAACTGCTGCTGCCAAGTCACCGCAGCTCAGCAGCTCCTGGGTTGAGCATCTGCCCCCTGGTGGTCAGTGTGCATCATACCTACCAGCCAGTTGGACGGTCGCTTAGCCTTTTATATATATAGATACTGTATTTGGTTTATCCATTTGTCAGTTGACAGACATTTGGGTTATTTCCACTTTTGAAGTATTCTGAATAATGCTTTTATGAATATTTATGTATAAGTTTTAGCGTGAACACCTGCTTTCAGTTCTCCTGAGTATACACCTAGGAGTAGGATTGCTGAGTCATACGTAGCTCTGTGTTTAACTTTTGAGGAAGGAACTGCCAAACTGTTTTCCAAAGTGGCTGCACCAGTTTACATTCCTTTCAGTAGTGTATAAGGCAGCGGTTCTCAACCTGTGGGTCGCGACCTCTTTGGCGGTCGAACGACCCTTTCACAGGGGTTGCCTAAGACCATCCTGCATATCAGATATTTACATGACGATTCATAACAGTAGCAACATTACAGTTATGAAGTAGCAACGAAAATTTTATGGTTGGGTCACAACATGAGGAACTGTATTTAAAGGGCCAGAAGGTTGAGAACCACTGGTAAGGGCTCTAAGTTCTTCACATCCCTGACAGTACTTGTTAATTTCCATTTTAAAAAACAATTATAACCATCCTAGTGGGTGTGAAATAGTATTTCATTGTCATTTTATTTGCATTTCCCTAATGACTAATTATATTGACCATTTTTTCATATGTTTATTTGCTGTGTATTAACTGATTTGTAGAAATGTCTGTTCAAATCCTTTGCCCCTTTTTAAATCAGATTATTTGTCTTTTTTACTGTTGAGTTATAAGAGTTCTTTATTCTGGCTGCTAGACCATTATTAGATACATAATTTGCAAATATTTTCTCCCATTCTGTGGGGCGTCTTTTCACTTTCTTAATTGTGTCATTTATTCAATAGTTTTTTTGAAGTTTGATGAAGTGCAATTTATCTGTTTTTTTTCTTTGGTTGCTTGTGCTTTAGGTGTCAGATCTCTGACACTTGTCTAATCACCTTCTGTTTTCTTCTAGTAGTTTTATAGTTTTAGCTCTTACATTTATTTAGGTCGTTGGTCCATTTTAGTTAATTTTTGTATAGGGTATGAGGTCCAAATTCATTCTTTTGCATGTGGTTACCTAGTTGTCCATTTGTTGAAGAGACTATTCTTTCTCCTTTGAGTTGTCTTGGCATTCTTGTCAAAAATTCAATTGACTGTAAATATAAGGGTTTATTTTTGGACTCTCAATTCTATTCTATTGATCTATATGGCTATCCTTATGTTCATACTAGTCTTGAATACTATAGCTTTGTAATAAGCTTTGAAATAAGGCAGTGTGAGTCCTCAACTTTGTTCATACTTTTTAAGACTATTTTGACTGTTCCGGTTCCCTTACATTTCTATATGAAATTTTATGATCAGTCTGTTAATTTCTGCCCAAAATGGCAGGTGAAATTTTGATAAAAAGTGCATGGAATTTGTAGATCATTTAGGGGAATATTGTCATCTTAATAATAAGTCTTCTAATCCATGAGAAAAAGATGTCTTCCTATTTACTTAGGTCTTAATTCCTTTTAATTACGTTTTATGTTTTTCTGTGTCAAATCATACTTCTTTTTGTTAAATTTATTCCTAGGTATTTTATTTATTTGGATGCTATTATAAATGGAGTTTTCTTAATTTGGGGGTTGTTTATTGATGATATATAAAAATACAACTGATTTTTGCATATTGATCTGGTACCTTAAGACCTTGTTGAGCTTGTTTATGAGCTCTAATAGTTTTGTGTGTACATATTCCTTAGGGTTTTCTGTATGCAAGATTGTTTCATCTGAACTAGAAATGGTTTTACTTGCTCAATTGCCTTCTCTAGAACATCTGTTTTATAATATTGAATAGAAGTGGAGAAAGTGGACGTCCTTGTCTTATTCCTGATCTTAGGGAGAAAGCTTTCAGGTTTTTACTATTAAGTATGACGCTGGCTGTGGATTTTTTATAGATGCCCTTTATTAAGTTAAGGAAATTCCCTTCTAATTCTCTTTAGGTGAGTGTGTTTGTTATGAAAGAGTGTTGTATTTTGTCAAATGTTTTTTCTGCTTCTATTGAGACGATCGTGTGGTTATTGTCCTTTATTTTATTAACATTATTACATTGATTGATTTTCATATGTTATAACATCTTTATATTTCTGAGGTAAATTCCACATGGTCATGGTATATAATCCTCATATATGTTGCTGGATTCAGTTTGCTGATATTTTGTTGAGGCTTTTAGCATCTATATTTTTCATTTCTTGTCATTTCTGTCAGTTTTGTATCAAGGTAATACTCTCCTTATAGAATGAGTTGGGAAGGGTGCCCTTCTCTTCTAGTTTTTGGAATAGTTTATGAAGGATTGGCATTACTTTTCTTCTTTAAACATTTGATAGAATTTATCAGTGAAGCCATCTAGTTGGTCCTGGACTTTCCTTTGTGGGGGTTTGTTTTTTAATGTAAGGTACAGAAGGATATTTATAGTATAATCCTATTGGAAGGAGAGAGGGAAGTCTTTTTAAGGCTATATCTGGATGCTTATATTTATAAAGAAAAGTTTTGAAAAGATATACAAGTAACAAAGGTTATCGTTGAGTAATGAGATGGGAACGTGTAGATGTACCACAGTTTTTTAATCCACTCATCTACTGATGGGCACTTAGGATGTTTGCAAATCTTAGCTATGGTGAATTGTGCTGCTATGAGCATAGGGGTGCATATATCCTTTCTAATTGGTGTTTCTAGTTTCTAGGGGAGATGGGAACTTTTAGTCTTCTGTTCTTTTAAAAAATATGTGTACATGTATTGCTTTACATAAAAAACACAATCTAAAATGTCTAGCATTTGACCATTTGCTCTTTCACTCACACAGTGAAATGCTAGGGGGGTATATTGGCCTGTCTCCTTAGGTACTCATAGTCCAGTAGGTTCCTGCATCTCTCTTCAGCTTCACAGTCGGCTCTCCCCTTCTCTATTTTATCTTCCATCACACTGAATTACTTGTCAATTCCCTGAAAACAACCCGCAGTTAGATGCTAGGGTGCCTTTGTACATCCTATGCTATTCCTGTTCCTTGTCATTCCTTCCCCCTATATCTGACCAATTAATATCTCTTCATCTCTACTTATCCTTTTAAATATTATTTACCTTCCAAATGTTAGTTACCTTCCTTTGTGAACATGTCTCAGCTCACTCTTCTCCTTGTCTTTTCCCATCCAAGGGGGTAAAATCTCTTTCTTCTGCTGCTTGTCATACATTAGGCATATTTTTGTTATTGAACTTTGTATTTACCCTGCATCATAATTACCAGTTCACACATATGTCTTTTCTAAAAGTACAATTTATTCAATTTTGTCTCCCTTGATCCTAGTACAATGGTCGGCACAAAATAGATGCTCAAGAACATTTTAATTGAATTGAATTAGTGATGTGAGAAAAGGCATTATGGGTACGATGAGCAATGTGAGCAAAGGCCAAAGTCATGAATTTGTAACATGAACTAGTTTGGCAAGACAGGAAGATTCATACAGAGAAATATGGTTGAGTGGTTTTGGCAAGGCTGATAATGGAGGCTCTTAAAAGCCAGATAGAGCAGACTTGGTAGGTAAATGTTGGTGAATGAAGAACTTTTCTCACTTCCTTCAAATCTTTTCTCCAATCTCTCTTCTCAGTTGGCTTACCCTGACCACCTCCTTTAAACTGTCTCCCTGGATCCTAGCACAATGGTCGGCACAAAATAGATGCTCAAGAACATTTTAATTGAATTGAATTAGTGATGTGAGAAAAGGCATTATGGGTACGATGAGCAATGTGAGCAAAGGCCAAAGTCATGAATTTGTAACATGAACTAGTTTGGCAAGACAGGAAGATTCATACAGAGAAATATGGTTGAGTGGTTTTGGCAAGGCTGATAATGGAGGCTCTTAAAAACCAGATAGAGCAGACTTGGTAGGTAAATGTTGGTCACTTCCTTCAAGTCTTTTCTCCAATCTTTCGTCTCAGTTGGCTTACCCTGACCACCTCCTTTAAAACCATCACCTCCACATTCACCCTTCTTATCCCAGCATTCTTGATCTCCCTTTCCCCAACCTTTCTCTTTTTTCCATTGCATATCACATTCAATATAATTTACTTTTTTGTTATGTTTTTTATTTATTGTTTGTCTTCCCCTTTGGAATATAAGCTTCCCAGCCAAGGTAGCCTTGTTCACTGGTATTTTCCAAGCACCTACGACATTGCCTGGCACATAGTAGGCACTCAGTGAATCCTAAATTAATGAACTTCAGTATCTTGTTCAGAGCTGGCATAGACAGCTTAGGTATATAGTTCAGATGTCTTGCTTCTGAGACATTTGTTCTGTAAAACTGCTAAAATAGTGCCATCTATTTGTAATATAATCTGGGGCAGAGCTTGGGGGTGGGGGGGTGGAGATTAGGGAAAGAGAGGTATTGTCTTAAGGTTTCTTGCCTTAGAAACCAAATTGGGAAGTAAAAATTATAAGTACATTTGAATTACTTCTTGCTTTAAAAAATGTTGTTTTGTGTGGTGATTAATTCCAATGCTTTAATAATTTCTCTTTTTCTTTCTCCACAGACCTTTGTAGTATTAAACAGAGGGAAAACTCTCTTCAGATTTAGTGCCACGCCTGCCTTGTATATTTTAAGTCCTTTTAACCTGATAAGAAGAATAGCTATTAAAATTTTGATACATTCATATCCTTTTCTACAAATGTGGAGTGAGGGTAGCAATTGCATGGTCTCTGGTACAAGTTTGTGAATTGTGACAACTGAGTTATATGTTAAGTATTTTATCAATAGTGTCATTGACTGTCCCACCAATCAGAGGTTTAGAAGGGAACGTCTGCCAAATTCTGAACGGTGAGCTTCAGCAAATTCTTTTTTTCTTAGGATGACCCTGGAATGGTGTTGGTATCATTTAGAGCATGGGGTGGGGGACGTCCGGCCCGAGGGCTGTATAAGGCCCTCGAAATCATCTGGCCTGACCCTGCCGAGGCATTAGGGGTGAGTTAATTAAATGTTTGACTCAAATATAGCAGGCTAATTTTTAAGCTGATAATTTTGTACAGCCCGTGAATGTGCTATAAATATCCAAATGACCCTTGGCAGAAGAAAGGTTCCCCACCCCTGATTTAGAAGGACAAATTAAATAGTAACTTTTTACTAAAATCTTACTTTTTAAAGTGCTCAGACTTTAGTAATTTCATCCTGAAGCAGATTATTCAGGTTTTTAATGTATTAAAGTCCAATATTAGAATATTTTAAAAGCTACTTCTTGAATTACAAATAGTTGAATGAATGCTTTAGAGGTCTGCCTTGACTATTTTTTAGTTTTTGAACAGTGAGCTTAGAAAGTATCTGAAATAGTTTCTCAAGTTAAATGGCCCTGGTACAGAGGTTTAGATTTAGATGCAGGATTGATAGGAATCTTTTCTGGTATTTTTACTCCCCTGAAACAGAAATTGCCAATTTATTCATGTGGCCTGACTTTTACATCTTATTAATATAGGAGCTCATATGACAAAAAAATTACGTGATGGGTGCAGCAACTTTGTATAGTGACTTGACACTCTCATGGTTGGTATTTAATATGACAGGATTTAGTCCCATGCTGCAAAGCGTATTGTATCCTCCAATTAGGATGAGGAAACGAGCAGTTGCAACTTGGCAAATTGGTTTGCCAAGCTTTCACCACATTTTATTAACTTGCAAGAATTTAGCAACCTGGTTCTAAAATATACCCAGGAAACTGATTTTCAGTTTAAGATTTGCACCTATGAAATGTCACATCTTCACCGAGGCACCCTAGTGATAAATGTGCAAACCTTGGTCAGTGTTATGAGGGGGAAGAAAACATGAGAGAGTGTCGTTAGGAAATCACTTCCCACTTTCTCTCCCAGCTATAACGCCGCTGCTTACCTTCTCCCATATAAACCTGCTGTCGTTGCCTGAACAAGAGGCCCTCACAGGCAAGAACACAGGCATATGAGCAATATGTGGTTTATAAGCAACATAGTTCTGAAATCTGAAGGCTTACAAATAAATAAACAAATCACAATACTAGTACGTCTTCCCTTTTTATTATCAGGAGATGGGGAGTGTTTTTTCTCTCCTAACCAGAACATGTTATTATTCCCTGGGGAAAAATCCAGTTGTAGTGAAGAAAATCCAGCTATACAAAGTATGTTTTCTTTTTAAAACCTCACTAGTTAAGGGTGTCCCAAAATTCACGCAAGAAGTAATTTTGATAATTACTGCATGAGTCATTTCCTGGTCGTGTAATTTCCCGTTTTGGTGATCAGAATTGGCCACCCAGATCATCGATCTAACGCTGTTGGACTTTTTTCTTTGAGGTTTTTTGAAGTCTAAGGTTTATGCCAACAAACCCAAGACCACCCACGTCTTGAAGGAGGAAATTGAGCGCTGTATCAAGGAAATTCAGCCACATTTATGCAAAAACGGTCATGGAAAATTTCAACAAAAGAGTGCATATGTGCCAGCAAAGCTGTGGAGGCCATTTACCCGATATGCTATTCCATACATAACCCTATACTGTATACTTTAGGAATCAATTAAAAATTTACAATTTCTAATTATAAACCTGTGTTTTCTATCAAAATTACTTCTTGCGTGAATTTTGGGACACCCTTTAGAATGAAGACGGTGAATGCCATTAGCAAGAAAGAGTGAATTAGCAACAAATGAGATGCAGCTTCTGTGCTTGTTAAAGTGACAGTTTGTGTTTGAGTAACTCCTGACCTAAAGCAGTTTAATTTTTCTCAGTAGACAAGAACAGAAAGGGCCGAGAAAGGTTGTGAATGAAACTGAAATGGCAACTAAGTACTTTGCTATCCACAAACATTCCTGATCACTTCCAGAATGACCAGGTGAATTTGCCCCATTGCCTAGTTCTTAGACATGTGATGGTGTGGATGCCCTTGAAATCCTTACCCAACATGTCACAGCAGGTTTCCCAAATTAGACAAATTCAGCACACACTGGCTATTGCCTTGCCCCCCAAGAGTTGTTCAGCCCTTTGGAGGACTCGGGGGTAAGTGAACCCTTAATTACGTGTAGATTTTCAAATAATGAGTTATGCAAGGTAACTAACAATAAATGAGTACTGAGTAATATAGATTAAATTTAATTTATTTTCTCACCCAATGACCTTGAGTCTGGCAGACTGGTAGATTTTTGGTTACTGTGCACAAAGGTATTTAGGGACTTATTCCATCCTTGAGATGAAAGTGGTAAGAGAGGAAAATGTTTTATCCCAAAGGAGCGGCATAAGGATGGCCTTTTTGAAAGTGCGTGGACGTTCTGTTGTGTCCATTCATGATTCTCTGGCCAGCTGTTTATACACACCGTGGGATTCTGTGGTGGCCACAGTTTTCATTATCACCTCACCTTTTCCTCCTCTTCTGTGCTTTGCCTTCTTTCAGGTTACTGGTTTAGGTCTCATGATAGCCCATGTGCAACGTGTTTGTTTTCTGAGAAAAAAATAAAGTGGTCAGACTTTGTGTCTTCTCCAGTTTTGCGCATTCTCCCTTGACTCTTCTCTACAGTATTTAGCATGATCATTATGTGCACTATTTTGACCAACTGTGTATTCATGACTTTTAGTAACCCTCCCGACTGGTCGAAGAATGTGGAGTAAGTAGCTCGTTTATTTATTTAACCGCTTGTTTAGTTCATTTTTAGTCACTGAATCTTGCCTTGCCACAGTTTATCCATCAGGGGGAAAAATAGTTAATTGCCTATTTTTTATTTCACAGAGAGGGGTGAGATACATAAATGTAGGATTTGGGAACTATCAGTAGTCAACTCTAAAAAGAGAAAGGCTCTGGAAGTTCCTGCCCTTCACCCCCGTCTTTTCCTGTGCTGGCTGGTGCCTTTGACTTGCTGCCACATCACCATCTCCTACCCTCAGTTCCTGACAATACTACCTTCTTCTCCAATATTACCTTTCCCTTCATTTTGATTTGTTTAAAGTTAAAATTAGCTCTGGGGCTGCCTCCCCTGATTGGAAATGATCACATACAGATGGCAGTGCAGAGGTACATATCTGTGATACCTGTCAAGACCCAGCACAACATTCCAAAGTTCTTGATTTGTGTGTTCCAGGAAGCGTCCCTTTCTCTTCCTCGCTTCTATTTTGCTGCATTGGCTATGTCCTTTTTGTTTTGTCTCTTGGTTGAAGCCACACCGAGGCAAGTACATTATCTTAAAAGATTCGAGTATCGTTTCTGGCTGTTCAGAAATGACCTCACGCTATCCATTTCTTTGACAGGTACACATTCACAGGGATTTATACATTTGAATCACTAGTTAAAATCATTGCAAGAGGTTTCTGCATAGATGGCTTCACCTTTTTACGGGATCCATGGAACTGGTTAGATTTCAGTGTCATCATGATGGCGTAAGTTCTCTGCTTACTTTTTTGGTGTTCTGGGTGCAATTGTGGGTGGTTGTACTCCTGGGTGTTTGTATGATAGTGTAAGTGTGCGTTTGTGGGCACAGTGGTATGAGGAATTAATGGATAACTCTGTAAGGCCGTATGGGTTTATGCTTATGATTCTTGCTTGTGAGGGCCTCTGCTCAGGCAATGACGGCAGGTTTATATGGGCGAAGGTAAGCAGAGGCTTTACAGCTGGGAGAGATAGCAGGAAGTGATTTCCTAATAATGCTCTCTCATATTTTCTTCCCCTTCATAATATTGACCGCGGATTACACATTTATCACTAGAGTGCCTTGGTGAAGACTTGAAATTTTATAGGTGCAAATCTTAAATTGAAAATCAGTTTCCTGAGTATATTTTATTTCTTATAATTTCATGAGGCAAGCCAGATGTTACAGACTTCAGAGCACATTTTAGAATCAAAACATGAGCCAAGATATATCCAAACTGGTTGATTTCTAAAGAAATACTGACCAGAACTTCAAACTAGTGCTAGAGAACAATGTAGCTCCACATCAGTATGCTAGTGCTCTTAGTAATTTCTGTTGTGACAATGAAAATGTATGCCTGGGAAACTTAGCTGATGATAGAAGAGTTATAGCAGACTTTACTGTTTTTATTTCCAGGTTGAGAATGCACTTGATGGTTTGGTAGCGGGAATAAGGGTGTTGTCTAGGTTGTATGTGAGTTCTGGTGTGTGCATGCAGATGTGTAAGAGATTGAGTGTATGTATGGGTCTGAGCAGCAGATAGAAAGATGTATTTCCACTGTAAAATGTAAGTGAACGATATGCATCGAATATTTGAAACTGGAACTTTGACTTTCTGTTATATTAAGGCAATTTCTAGCTTTCCAGCATTAAATGAAACTGAACACATTTGTGTTCATTTGAAATTTAAGTGTCCTCGCTTGGCACAGGACTGGTGATAAAATGGGCATTTAGTAAAATATTTTTTCTGATCTCATGACCTGGATTTTCCTGAGCCCTGCTTTTGTATGTCATAGGCTGAAACTTCATCTTTAGGCATAACTGCAAAGATATGCAAACAACTTTTGGATAAGTCATATATACAAACATTTAGGCATTTTTGCCATTGTCAGCTAAGGAGTTATTTTAATGTATACTTGGTTTTATGGGGCTCCTGCTACAGAAATGTATCTCCTTTTCCTAAGAAATTGTGCACAAAACATGGGACATAAGCCTTTGTTACCTCCTGGCCTCAAGTGATTGGCTGAGAGTAACCCTTCTGATTCAGACCCGCATATCACAATACTGATTAAGAGAGTAAAGCTCCAGGAATCTCCTGGCTGTATCAGTTCTTTCAAATATACTTTTAAATTATCCTTGCTCAATTAAAAAAAAATGTTCCTTAAATGTTTATATGTTGAAACTTTTCTTTTTCAAGGAAAAAAAAATGAAATCATAGCTTGTGTATAAGACCCTTTCTTCCCCCCATTCTCACACCCTCGCCCAGTGGTACCATTACAAGTTAACTTTGGTTTGATTCTGCAGGTATATAACAGAGTTTGTAAACCTAGGCAATGTTTCAGCTCTACGCACTTTCAGGGTACTGAGGGCTTTGAAAACTATTTCGGTAATCCCAGGTAAGATGGCCCGGGGTTGGTGTTAGGTGTTGGGTTAGGGCCCTGACGTGACGTATTGTACTTTTTGTTTTGTTGTGGTTTTGTTTTCTTCCTTTGGTGTTTGTGTTTGTGTCTGTGTTTGTCATTTGTGTCTGTGTGTGACCTCCCTTACTGCAGATATGTGACAGAGTTTGTGGACCTGGGCAATGTCTCAGCGCTGAGAACATTCAGGGTTCTCCGAGCTTTGAAAACTATCTCTGTAATTCCAGGTGAGAAAATCTAAACACAAGACTGACTTTGCCTCATCTTCTCTTCCCCCGCCATTCATTTTGTCCACTACATTCTCAACCGGTGTCAGCACATTCGATATGGCCTTGCATTCCGCATGTGTTTACCTGGAGACGTTCTCTGGAATGGCCCTTTGGGCACTTTCTCGGACAGCGCTTGCCAGGCATGCAGCCCCATTCCATCCATGCTTCTCAAAAAGCATGTGCTTAAGAATCACTTGGATTTCACAATATTGAGAGAATTGTCACAGAGCTAAGCTATCTCTTTGAATATAAATCATTTGCTTTCTGGCCTCATGGAATTACAGTAATTTTAACATTCACCATCATTCCATCGCTTATGATTTCTGTGCTTCCTATCGCATGATTTGCTGATGGGATGTTACTCAAAGAATTGCACTTTTATTGTTACTGTGTTAATGGGATCATTTAATCACATAAGAGACCTACCCAGTTAACTAGTCCAGTATTATAGACAAACTAGAGGCCCTCGGCCTGGCCTGTGGGATCGGACCAAAACCGGCTCTCCGACATCCCCTGAGGGGTCCCGTATTGCGAGAGGGCGCAGGCCAGGCCGAGGGACCCCACAGATGCATGATCAGGGCCGGGGAGGAATGTGGGAGGTTGGCCAGCCGGGGAGGGACTGTGGGAGGGCTCCAGGGCGTGTCCGGCCCATCTTGCTCAGTCCTGATCGGCCGGACCCCAGCAGCAAGCTAACCCCTGGTGGTCAGTGCATGTCATAGCAACTGGTTGACCGGTCGACTGTCAGCCCCCTGTGGTCAGTGCACGTCATAGTGAGTGGTTGAGCAGCCTTAGCATATCATTAGCATATTACGCTTTGATTGGTTGAACGGCCGACCGGTCGACCGGACACTTAGCATATTAGGCTTTTATTATATAGGATTTAAGAACTTGAATTAGTGAACTGAACCTTAATAATTACTTAATAATCATCTTCTATGTCTGTTTCATTAATAAGAACCAGTAGACATATAGTCAGAGACCATTCTCAAACATAAATCCCAATGAAGCATATGCAGGTGCTGTTAAAAAAAATCAAAGGTAAGATAAAATTCATCTGAAGGTATGGGCTAACAGTACAGAAATTTGAGAAGAAAGAAAAGGAATCAGTGAGTGGTTAAAAGGTTGCTTTTCTTTTTGGTCCTGGTTGACCTGACTCAGTAGTCCTTAACCTTGAAGGTTTTGGATCCTTTTGAGAATCAGATCAAAGTTCACAGACCCCGCCTGAAACCCCTCTGTGGGCCCCAGGTTAAGATGCCTTAATTTAGTTTAAATCCTTGCTACCTGATAATATTGAACTATCTTTTTAACGAGCAGTCTCGATGTCTAGTAGGAAAGATATTTTCATTAGTCTTGTGAGCCTAGGATACACTGGCAGTAACATGGCAGAAGTCAGGACTATATTGTTGCTGATTGGTTGTATTCAGGCAAGAGACCAGACTTCCCGCGGCACTTTTGTAGAAACAGGGACATGAAGGCATCCTATTCCTGGCATCACATGGTTCTTCTCCTTGTGGCTGGCTCAGAAACATTTCTCTTTCCCCCTTTTTAACATTATCTAAATATGAGGTACCAGAGGGAAACACAAAGGTTGCATCCTGGGGAGGACAGATGTAGAATGTAGCAGCAAGAACTCCAAGGAAGGCAACCCCCGTTCCTCCATTTATAAATTTGGGCCATCAAGTGGGCCAGTCATTGAGCCCCACTGACAATGAACTCCTTTGTCTTCAGCTGTGGTAACTTACTCCTTAGCAACAGAGTTTGGGTATCAGTTGGAGTATTTCCTTCTTGGCAAAAAACCCTCCCTGACTTACCAAGGTTTAGGTTCTAGCCTTTTAAATCCCTTTGACGGAAAGCCCAGCTCATCCTCCAGGCAGCCTATGGGTCAGGCAGCCTCATTGGCCTGACCCATAGGCAGGCCTTGTCTTATTTGTTTAAAGCATCTGGAGCACCATGTCTTTACTTCTTCTACTTTTCCTTTGGTCTCTCTCCTCCTCTGGCCTCTTTTTAAATATGATCCCATGTTTCTGCTCACTTCCCCCAGCGTATTCCACAAGGCATCTGTCTCTGTATGTTCTTGTGATCTCAGAACTTCTCTTCCAGAATTAAATTGGAAAGCTGTGTTCTGTTCACTAACTAGGGCAGCAGATGCTATCTCTGGTCTAGCTTTTAGCTTCTGTCTCTGTGCTGTATGGTTAATTTCTGACCACAGCATTACTGCAAGATAGCTTTTGACTGATGTCACATTATTCATCCTTAATACTCCAGTACTATATATATAAATAAACACAGTTTCTGGTGCATAGCAGTGCTCCCTAAATGATTGTAGTAGTAGCAGTTATTATAAAGAAGAAACCTAAACCCAAAGAAAGGATTTGTATCAAAATTTAGACGTCAGCTTCACAGTTGAAATAGACTTCTGAATTCTTGTTTCTAGAAGCACCCCAAATGAGCTGGCTTTGGGAGGTTAACTGGTATGAAATGTAACTTTTAAAGGATAATAAAGCCAATAAGAGTCCACTGTCAGTGAATGATATAATTGATGCTTGAATTAAAGTGTGACTTTTAATCCTAAATTCTTTTTTTCACATTCTACATAGAGTTAGTAAGAGAAATCTGGAGTGAAGTGCTTATTTGGTAAGCGATGCCTCCCTCGTGAGACACTGCTGCCATCCTATGTAACATTCTGCACTCGCCTGCTCTGCTTTCCTTTTCCCATGGAGGCTGTGGTCCTCTTCCCACCTGCCTGTTACCCAGGTCTCCTCCCAGGGTGGGAGCACCAGTGCATGAGTCAGTAGACCTGGGCCACCTCTTGATTGGCAACCTAAGTCATTTTAACTCCACTGTTGTAGAGCTGGGATATAGTTCTCTCTTAGTAAGAACCATTGTTTTTCATACCAAGTTTTGTCATGGATCACTTCAGTGGAATGACTGCTTTCTTTGCCTTTTCCTGTTCCCAGTTCGATTATAGGTTTTTGCCAGAGTTGTCACAAACAAGTGAGATCAACAACAGAACGGGCCTGGGGCCTGCTCTCCAAGTCTCAGTTCCCTTCCTGAGAGTTTTCCCTTTCCCAGAGCACTCACCCGGCTCCCGGGGCTGACCCTGTCCTTCCTCTGAGCATCTTTGGTAGATATTATGAGTGCGTCAGGGCTGCTAGGACTCCCAGAAGATTGGAGAGTACAGTCCATTAGTGAGCTCCAGCCTTTTGTATACGAGAAGCTTTGATTTAGCTTAGAAAAGACGAACCCACATCCTGACCCTTTTATATGCTAATTCGATATAAATGGATATGTGTCATTCATGTTTCCATTTTACTTCAGAGGACTTGACTTGGAGAACAATGCACATAAACTCTGTGCTAAAGCTTACAGAAGGAGACCCTTTCTAATTTTCCTTTGGTCTGGAATTTTCCAGATTCAACTTGATATTTAAGTATTCCGTGTAGAAAGTCATATGTCTTAAAACTTAGTTTTCAGTTTATATTTACCGAGGACCTGCGTACAAAAAATTCTTAGTGACTTTGCTAGAAGTTTCGTCTTCTGCATGCTTTGACTCTGTGCGTAGAACTGGCAGGCCCAAGGGCAGGGTGGAAATCTCAAAGCAGGTGTCTCGTGTTTTTCTTAGAGAGCATCACTTACTGGCGTGAGTGAAACCAGGCAGGAGCGCCTCCCTCACCACTTCCTTTTCACTTCCATCACTTAAATGGCTCCCCCAAAGCACTTCGACTTCTCTGTTTGTCAGCATTGGTTTAATATCATTTTGTTCTCTTCAGAGTTGCGATTTCTTGATTATTTTTCTCTCTGGTTTTTTATTTCTCTGCTTTGATTTCTGTTACTTTCTCTTTTAACTGTGGGGTCAGATAAGAAGAAGCAGGGAGAATGATGGGCCTTCTCCTTCCCACCCCAGATTTGCATTTAAGAAAGCATTTTCTTTAAATGTATACATTATGAATATGCCAATTTCTAGTGAAGGGAGATAGAAAATGTTTTAAGACTATGTTTAGGCTCATTGTGTCTCTTAAAATATTCTAGTTATTAATCCAGTTGCTTTTATATTTCTCCTTTATCCACATTGCATTGTCAAAAAAGGTAACTAAAGTTTAACACAGTGGCCCTACAGGTGTGGCTCAGTGGTTGAATGTCGACCTATGAACCAGGAGATCACGGTTTGATTCCCGGTCAGGGCACATGCCCGGGTTGTGAGTTCGGTCCCCAGTGTGGGGCATAGGAGGCAGCAATATGCCAATTTCTAGTGAAGGGAGATAGAAAATGTTTTAAGACTATGTTTAGGCTCATTGTGTCTCTTAAAATATTCTAGTTATTAATCCAGTTGCTTTTATATTTCTCCTTTATCCACATTGCATTGTCAAAAAAGGTAACTAAAGTTTAACACAGTGGCCCTACAGGTGTGGCTCAGTGGTTGAATGTCGACCTATGAACCAGGAGATCACGGTTTGATTCCCGGTCAGGGCACATGCCCGGGTTGTGAGTTCGGTCCCCAGTGTGGGGCATGCAGGAGGCAGCCGATTAATGATTCTCTCATCATTGATGTTTCTACCTCTCTCTCCCTCTCATTCCTCTCAGAAATCAATTAAAAAAGAAAAAAGTTTTTTAACACAGTGTCCTAAGTGGAAAAACATTGAAGACACATGGGAATCCCACTTGGCCTACCTTTGAGAGCTAGTTAGGTTTTGTCAGACTTTGTGATTTGAATCTGGTCTCAAGTAAATAAATCTGTGGCCCCCAAATCTCTCCCAAATTACTCTTGACCTGAAGAACCTTCGAGAACTATCCTTGTGAGGATTTAATCTGCAGCAGGAAAGTTGACCGGCATGATTTACTGCTCGCACTTGTCTAGGCCAAACCAGACCTTGGGGATTGGGGAACTTTTCTTTCCCCTGGGGTGAGCAGCTGCTTGTTGTTGCTATTGAGGCCTGTTCCAGTGTAAATTTTGTAGGATA